ATTAATATTTTTATAGTAGGTAATTATGTTTTATTTGTATCTAATAAGCTATATCTTTAATTATTAATTTAGTATCTAAATTTGGAAGTGATCCAGCGATATTCAGTTCTATTCAAACTCAAAGCATAAGCCCTGAATTACTGGATTATTTGTTCAAATGTGGACCGATGCAGCCATCATCTAGTGAAATGCCCAAAAACTGTTTTCCAAAAGACTCTCATGGGAGATCGTTCCACGATAACTGGTTTTGGAAAAAATTACCTACCGGAGAATTAATTCGAAGAAAGTGGATGTCATATTCAACAATTCAAAATCGACTGTATTGTCTTAATTGTGCGCTATTTGGAAGAAATAGAAAATGTCATTGGGTTTGTGATGGGTTTGCAGAATGGAAAAATGGCCCAATTAAAATTATGAAACATGAAATAACCGAAAATCATGTATTTGCTTCAATTAAAGCATCATATAAGGAAGCTGCTTTTCCACTTATTCCTTCATTAAAAGAAAATGAAATGAAAAAAATAGTACAGAACAAGGAGGTTATCAGACATTTAATTGACATAGTGTTGTATTTGGGGAGACACTGTTTACCTTTTAGAGGTCATAGAGAGGGTTGGGAAGATGATGCTCGTGGAAATTTTAAAGATTTAGCTATCTTATTGGCAAAGTATTCACCTCCATTATCATGTCATTTAACTGAAGTCAAAATTAGGGGAAAACATACACACAATTTTGTATCATGGAATCGACAAAATCAGTTAATATTAGCTATTGCAACTAATATTCGTAATACAATAAAAAATGAAATTTTTAATGCAAAATTTTTTTCTTTATCTTTAGATACCACATTTGACGTGTCAAGAAAAGAGCAATTGTCACTGGTTATTCGTTATATAAATAAAAGTAGCGGTGTAGTCAGTGAACGGTTAATAGCTGTTAGAGAAACATTAATGACTACCGGTCAACATTTATTTACAGTTCTTGATGATATATGTAAAGATATGTGTTTAGATTGGAAAACTTATCTAATTGGGCAATCTTATGACGGTGCTGCCTCAATGAGAGGTGCATACAATGGCTTACAAGCTATTGTAAAAGAGCATAATTCATCAGCTACTTACGTTTGGTGTTGGGCGCACAAATTTAATTTGGTTATAGTCGATGCTGTAAGTTCCTGTTCACAAGCTAGAGACTTATTTGGTACATTGGAAACACTTTATGATTATATAGGCAGTAGTAAGAAGCGAGTAGNTGAAATATTATGCTTTCGAATTTTTTTTTCCAAATGGTCCCACAAATTTTCAATAGGATTAATGTCCGGAGATTGTGGTGGTGTAACAAGGTATTCAAATTTTTTTTTGTTAGACTGGTTGATTATTTATTTTGACAAAACATATATTTATTTATAAACATGAACGCTGATTTTTGTTTAACAAGTTAAGTATTCTGAATGGCTAGAATAAATTCGGTTTGACTAGAATATTTTCTAAGTTCAGAATATTATTTTACGAGAATTTTCCCAAATCCAATTTAATTAATTAAAGAACAGACTGCTGTGAAGGTGCTCTGGCTAGTCTGGTCAAGTCGCGTCTGAATACAGGCCGTTTCTGGATCTCTTATATAGTACTACCCTCTACTCCCCCATAGTCAACTTGCTCTTGTCGCTGTTCTCACGGATATGGTATAATCATCTAAACTGATGGAAATGTCCCTCGCCCACATACAAGCTAAATGCGCATCCTATGCAGCTGCAAAYCTCGATAATTTATATTATTATTAATATTAAAAATATATATTATTATATTACATTTGAACATTGGTTTTTGGAACTTTTGTACTGATGTATAGCCCTACATCTTGTGCACCCCTATTGGTGATATTTTTATAGTTGTATGCCCACATGATTTCGTATTTCCCTAATGTTAATGATTTCCACTAAATGCTTTCTCTCCTACAATTACAAAGTTGGTTGCACCCTACCCTAGCTTGGTTCCTGTTGGTACTTATAGTTGACCGTCTACTAGACAATGTGTGACGCTAGTCCATAGCAGTAATAATTATGTTTACCTATAATAATTTGTGTTCAAAAATTGTAAACTCATGAACTTCCAAACAATTATACTATTATGTACAATGGGGCACATTCTCTTCTTGAAGAATAAATAAAAATAAATACATACCAAATTTAACATAGTAGGTACCTACAGTATAATATTATACTGGTAGTAATGTATTATATTAAAATGATTAAATCAATTATTTAGAACAATTTCCTACCTACTCCCAATATTTAAGTTATTTTATTTAAACTGCACAACTTGTAATTTACTTATCTATCTAAAATTTGTAGTATACCTATACTGTAGTATACCTATCTCTCGATGGTACACGAAATAATTGATGAACAAATAATACTATTTGAATAACTTTATTAAAACATAACACAAACACACAAAAATATACGGGCCTCTATCAACCGCTTACCAATATCTTGCCTCTCACTCGAAACCCGCACTGTCCCCCTACTGTGGTGCTTACGTCCTTAAATATTATTTTACAATGAGCTGCCTCAGCTCATTTGCTTCATTGGCTTAATATTACGTAATTTAAATATTTAGCTAAGAGAAGTAATAAACCTATTATTAATTGGCACATGCCATATACAACAAATTCTAATGTTCTAAGTAAATTGTTAAAAATGCAAATATTTATAAAAATACAAACACAGAAATTGTTTTTAAAAATTAACACACAAATGGTCCAATGTTAAATGATTTAATAACACCACAATTTAAAACTGTTCATTTACTAAATACAAAAATTAAAACAACATGTAGGTATAACTGATCAATTTATATTAACTATATACAATAATATTATGAAAGTCCTAAACATAGCTCATACTAAAGACGACATACAAATGAAGTTGTTTTCATACTTGCATAGGAAAAATATTCCAATCTAAAAGACCATTTTATGAACAACCACTAAGTTTGGATATTTTAAAAATTTATACTGTTGATAATTTATCTAATGAACTATGTTGGATTCCAATGAAAAATTTAAAAATAAAGGTTATGCTATTGGAAAAATGTAATAAAAAAATAGCTTTGCCTATTATACATTTCAATTAATGATGATTAAACTAATTTAAAAAAAAAAAAAAATTGGAAGGTACCTAGTTAAATATATTTTTTTGTACTTAACCTAAATTAGTTAAATTTTATGTTTACAGTTATATTTTATACATTCAACTTAATATGACATACCACATAGTAATATTCATCAAAGAAGATACAGTTGAAGTTGTACCATCTCATTGGCCGTCAAAGATGAAACTACTTGTGCTTGACCTCATAGAAATTTAGATCCAAAAAACAGATTAAAAAAAAAACAAATCCTAATTCATCAGATTTCAATTGGTATGATGTTCGTATTTTAGCAAAATATATTGGTAAGTAAAAATATTCAACTGCAATAGTTGCTAATTTGCAATTAAATATGTTTAATTATTATTATGTATATTTTTATTTATAATTAGTTATTGTAATTTATAATTTTGCTTTAAAACGGTTTCAGCAAGTTTAAAAGATGCCAAAATAAAATGTAGTAAAGCAACTCATACCTCAGATTTATCAGAAATTGAAAATAAAGAAACTAGAAAACTTCGATGCAAAATATTTGGCGATGCTGATAATTATGGTTTTCAATTTAAAAAAAAATCCCCTTCTAGAAAGTTATTTCTTGATGGTAATTAAAGTATTACATTTCAATGAATACACATACCTATACGAACTGTTGTGTTTGCTAACTATAAAATGAATTAAGCTATTTTTATTTTTGCCTTATTATTATTGTCATTATATTATAGGACCAAGCTCAAATATTATTAAAATAAACTCACCTGCATCATCAGGAAAATGGAAAGTAATAATTGATAATAATAATTTCAAAGTCCACTAAATCTCCAAAAAGAAAACTAAATTTTGATTCAATGTCCCAAAAAACAAATGGGAATCGTAATAGTAAAGGTTGTGTCAGTCAGTCTCCTAAACATTTTGGTAAAATCGTACTTACATAATTAAATTAACAT